AAGAAGAAATCCAGGTAGCACACTGATTTCACCCATCTTGTGAAAGGAATCACGCAACTCCAGTCTCCAGACACATCGGTATCAATATAACATTTAGGCATATACCATGAGATACAATTTTTTTTGGTTGTGGGAGGAGGTAAAGATAAAATTACTACTCCTACATGGCAAGTACCATTTCAATAAAATTGTTCCTCGGGACCAAACGGTGAAGTAAACAGAGCAAGAAGACATCGCACAACTTAGCAAAGGACCCTTAAAAGGGGGAGAAAGATCCGCGGAGACGAAAAGGGCAGGAAACCGGGCTTTCCGCTTTCGCTTCACCTGGGTTGAGGTCGGCGCGGACCAGCAGCCTGGAGGCGGAGGCGGAGCGGGTGCTGGGCATGGCGGCCGGCGAGAGACGAATGCGGGGGAGGAGGAGAGCGAGGTGCATCGGCGCCCGCGCCGCTGCGCTAGGGTTTTAGCTGCGACGAGGGTCCTGTCCTGTTCATCTTTTCCCCCCACCTCCTGTGTTGTCGGGTGGTGTGAGCTTTTCTTCGCGTTCGAAAAAACAGTTGCGTTGCTTGTGGCGCTGCAGCCTACTGCGTGGCGCTTCGTTTCTTCGCCTGCAAACGTGTTGCTTTCGGCTGCGGCGTGCGCGGTGGCCGGCGGCAGCCCGCGTTGATCAGCAAGCGTACCCGTGCGTTAATCGCTGCCTAACCTGACAAGTAATGGTGGGGACAGAGGGACTTAGGGAAAGGAACTCAGCGCCCACACACACCGACACACCAATTGCATGACAGCAAGGTAGTAATCCATGGTTATAGATTATGGAGAGAATTTGCAAATTTGATTGTTACTCTTAATGATCTCTTTGTTTGGTTGTGGAAAAAAAATAAGACAGTTAAAAAAATCCATACCCCCTGTTTGGTGCATGAGATAGAAATTATATCACTAGTCATAACCAAATCTTCACTCAATTAATTAACACATATGTCATGATAATTGATTAGTGGAAATTCATCCTCTAAACTCTAACCCCTCTTCCCACCAAAACTCTTACACTTCGTGCTCCTCTTGTAAGCACACCTGAACCAACCCAAGTTGCTACGGTTCATTTGTGCGCGGGCACGCACACTCTAGGAAAAAAAACTTTCAGAATAAACACACAAAATTTTCCTAAAAGCCATTTTGGAATGAAGATATATATAGGAATAGTGGAGAAATTTCATTAAAAATAATTTAATTTTACATAAAAAATATCGGTGATATTGTAGTCCAAGCATCTGGCCGCCCAGACGCTTGCTTCATGGGCCTATTGACCGGCCCAAACAACTTGCTCGTTTGTCAACCACACATGATGCTTCTAAACAAATTGGACCGGGCCATATTTCCCTACTCCGCCTTGTGTCGTTCTCCACCGCCACACCCACGCTGCCTGCTCGCCGCAGCAGCCCTCCACCACGACATCAAAGCCTCCTTGCCGTGGCCGGAGTCTGCTCGCTCGCCGGTGCCGCTAAGCCTCCGCTCTTCCCCTCCCCAAAGGATCCAGAAGCACCCCTCCACATGCGTCTTCCCTCAAGTCGGCCTCCATGGCGTCCCCTCCCACTCCACGGCGGCCACGTCCCTCTCCTACGTCACACCGGTGTCGCCTTTCCCAGATCTGGCAGTATCTCCTCTCCCGCGGCCGACGACGGGCATGTCAAGGGTGTGCGGGCGCACACCAGCCACCTCGCCCATCACTGAACGGGAAGCAGGGGAGGCTTGTGCTCCCATCCATGTTGTGTCGTCGGCAGGAAGGGGAGGTTTGCGCCACCGCAGTTCCCCTCCGGGTAGGTCATGGCTGCGCAGTGATGCTGTGTTAAGTGTTTCTAGACGTTTTTCCAGACATGTTGCAAAGATGTTTCGTCTGGATGTTACAAGTGTTTCATGTGGATGTTGAGATCAAGATATTGGATATGTTGAATAGTTGTACACGTATACGTACGTTGCAGGTGTCTATCCCCAGTGTTTCATTTGTTTTTTACACATATCTTGCAATTGTTTCAGACGCATATCTCAAGTGTTTCTCAAGTGTTTCATCTGTCTTCTTTTGCATGTCGCAAGTGTTGCATCTGAATATTGCAAAAGTAGACCGGCATGTTGCACATTTTGCAATGGTGTTTCAATTGTATTCCTCAAATGTTACATTTGTTTTAGACATATGTTGCGAAGGTTTATCTTAGAGCATGTTTACGACCTTGTACGATGCTGGCCTGGCCAGCCTTACTTGCCTAGGCTAGGGAGGCCTGTCCCAAGTGCTGCAACGTAGCTTGTTTGCGCCCATGTACCAACTGAGCCCGGCCCAGGCGAGCTGGTGTTTGGCACCCATTCCTCAGCCGGGCTAAGAGGCCAATTGGGAGCCCGTGTGTGCCGCGCGGAGGCGTGCTCCCAGGAAACAATCCCTAGCAGCATATCCCGGGGGCCAGGCGCAAGGGTGCCTTTTGGCTCTTGGGGGCCAGACTCGCTCGCGGGCCAAGCTCACAAACACGGCCAGTTGCAGCCCACGAGTGCAGTCGGGCTGCTAGGCCGAGGTCGCAAACGCATTGCAAAAGTAGATTGAGTGTTTCAATGTTTGTAGTGAGACCTATGTGCCACAACCATCTACTTTGCATCTGCAAGGCCCGCATGCATGCCTGTGGAAGCAGAGGGGCGCGGGAAACGAGAGGAGGACACAGATCGAGGCATGCGTGGGAAACGAAGTGACGTGGGCCCCACATGAAGCACACAAGGCGTATGGCCGGGCAAGCAAGGCATGCCTAACTGGTGCGAGCGTCCGGACGCTAACGACCAGATCAGACATCCGGGCGCTACCAGTTCGCAAAAACATAGGAACATGAAAGAAATCCTCACATTCTAAATGGAGCCTTTTGTTAACTCTAACGCCTCACTTCCTCTTCCCAATTACCCAACCAAATGTGTTGCAACAATCTATGTAAGGGTGTGTATGGGGTCAAAAAATATTTTAGATCCAAATTCTCTTACGAAATATTTAGGTGTTGAATCAAATTCACCCTATGAAATCATTTGTTTGGTAGGTTGGATTATGATTTTCAAAAATATATATTTGTTAAAACATATAGATTAAAATATGCTTCGGAAAAGTTCAGAATTATTTTGTTGGGCTAAGAACAACTTAAATACAACCTATTTAACTTGTTACACTTAAAAAACTAACTAAAATTACAAAGGGAAGACCAGAAACAGAACTGGGAGAAGCCAAACTCCAGCCGTTTCAAACTCTAATGAAAGAAATGCAGCGCGTTCGGCTCCCCCTCGGTGAAAATTCCATTTGGCACTAATTCTTGTGATTCTATTTTTCACGTTCGGCTCCGAAACCCTCAGTGGAACACCTGGCGTTGATTCTTGTGATTCTATTTTCTAGCTCGAAATCCCTCCGTAAAATCTCTATTTGGCACTGATTCTTAAGGGTGCGTTATCTCACAAACGTAAATCTCTATTTGGCACTGATTCTTAAGGGTGCGTTATCTCACAAACGTTTCAGATTCATCAGTTCCTTAAGAGACATTCCTTCTAGTGAATACGAATCATGTTCTCAAATCGTTTGGCTAGTAGGTTCAATTCTGATTCTTGGTGGCTAAAATCATTGGTTTACATGACAAATAAATTTTTTTTTTTTTACAAAATACAAAAAAATGCTAATGTTTTATGAACGAAGAAAAAAAAATCAAAAGCATCTTATTTTAATTCGTTTCACTTGAAGACGATCACTAGAATCATTTTAGATTAGATGGGAGGGGTAGTAATGCAAGAAACAGAATCTGGAGGAAACTACTCTGAAGGTGATTCTGATCTCTATTACAAAAAGAGAGATCACTAGAAACGAATCAGTGTCGTCTTTAACCGTTTGGAAGTGTTTCCAGTGACTCTGAAAAGAATCCTAACCTATTCTCTTCTGGAGAGAATCCAAACCTATTCTCACATCCAAACGGACCCACAATTCTCTTGAGAAACGGATCGGTTCTGGCTATCCAATTTATCCCTAAATATTCCACTCCAACCGAACATAGCCCGTTTTCACTGTTACCTATCGCTGGATCGTAAATTTGATTCACGCCAGGGAAACTAGTTTCGATGCTTCTATTATCAGTCAATATTTAAAACCAGAAAAAACAGAACGTCGAGAATGAATCCATTTAACAATGGGAAAAAGCAATGGAAAAAGCGCCTGGGGGCCATAAATGTCTTTTAACTGTTTACTCCATTGAAACAACATAGAACTAACGGCCTGTTTAGTTCCCCTCTAAAACACCAAATTTTTCAAGATTCCTCGTTACACCGAATCTTTGGACACATACATGAAACATTAAATATAAATAAAAAATAAAACTAATTACACAGTTTAGACGAAATCCACGAGACGAATCTTTTAAGCCTAATTAGACTATGATTGGACACTAATTATCAAATAACAATAAAAATGCTACAGTATCGTTTTGCCAAAATTTTCGACAACTAAACTGGGCCTAACTAAAAGAAAGCAGGAAAGCCAAAGAACATGTACTCAGATCGACAATAGAGCCTATCACCTTGGTCAAAACCAAGATTTCTGGTTGATCATAATCATAACACTACAAACCTACAACAGATTTTGGTATCATATGGTAGACCAGGTGACATATTTGGTTCGCAGGCAGGCAGGTCTCACCAGGTAAAATATTCAATCCCAACTAAATCACGCTCAGGCAGGTTGCAGGCATGGGTGCTAACTCCTAACGAGGCATCCTACTGCAGGGTTAAAACCAAACAGCCCCTTTTACAATAACTTCCTCAAATAGCAGTTGAGAATAAACTTGGTGCCAAAACTAACAGCAATGACAGGAAAGTTCAGGAGGATACATCAACAGACCAAACTAACTATCCAGTCACATTCCACAACCACAAGAAAGCAAAATGAGCTTGACAAAGAAACTCCAATTATTCCCAAAAAAACATTGCCGGTAGTGGTTGCAGATAAACATCTAAGCAGGAAGACCATCAAAGAACTTAATGTAGTCATCAAGCTTCTCCTCATGCCTGATCTTAACGATCGAACCATCCTCTTCCACCTGCAAAGCAAACAATAAACCGTATTGGTTAAGTGACCAATGAAGAAAACTGATAGACAAAAGAGGCAACAAATGGGGAACGTTATGAATGGACATCCCCCAAAGTCTCAATTCCTTACATTTACGGTCTACACCTGCATGGTTGACATGCAGAACTCTTAAGAAAACATTGGTTGGCCAATAGGCACGGGGGTATTTGGAAACACATAGAATTTGCATGTTTTAAGAAACGAGCAACTTTGGCACTAGCCCTTATTTTAGAGCCCCAATGACTGGTTGTCAAGCTCCTCTCCATGATCCCCTACAGCCTCCATGTTCTACAGCACCTCAGGCTTGCCAGGCTTTGTTCCCTTAAGCTCCTCTAAGCCGCCAGCACTATGCCCCACTCTCCTAATTGGTCTGCTCAGCCTACCTTCTTAACAACAATCAACAATCCAGAAAAGAACCAAGCTCCCGTCCATGGACAGATACCCATCTGCGACATTGTGGGATAGGCAAAGGGGACGACACGCAAGTAGGCTGGTAGGTATGGACCAGGAGCGACAGGGTGCAGGCTGTGCGGCATGGTGTGGAATCAAGGGGAGATGGCATGCAGGGAATTTCAAGCCAAGTTTGAGCCTCTCCATCACTCTACATTTGAGACCTTATGCAGAAAAAAAGGGTAGCTTCAACAGGCCCCACTCAAGCACTCAAACTTGAGCGGCACCAGCATTTGCCCTGAGCCCCATCATTTCCCAATGGGCAAGCAAGCCATGCAAGGAGGCGCAGTGGCAGTGGAGGGTCAGGAGCAGTGGGGGTTGCAACCCTGCTGGACCTCGATTCTTAGAATCAACCACCAAAACTGCTATAGTTACTCTAAGGTCTAAGGAAAGAAGACCCAGGCAAGTAATTGAAATTCCCTAGCTCGCAGTGGGTCTTTCCATTTTTCCTACAAAATAATCATGAGAAAAAAGGAATATAGGTGGTAATATGTCCCCCCCCAGGGAGGTTGCCGCCCTTCTTTAGCTAAAATATCATGTTGCACTGTTTCAAAAAAAATCATCACAAAAATCATGTATGTAGTACCTAAAGTTTGTAGCTGAAACAATTCAGTCTGAAATTCATCTCTGATGTTGAGATTCAAAAAACACAAGTGTCACTGTCAACACATGATGAACAATGACAGGTTGACCACTTGTTTATTTTATTTCTTGACATCTAGGATTTATATCAAACTAACTGTTGCAACTATACTTAACTCTGTGTTCTACATACGTGATTTTTGTGATGATTTTTTTGAAACATTGCAACATGATATTTTAGGTATTGAGGGCGCCAGCCCCCCCTGGGCACTAAATATGTGTTGTAGTTTGTACCCAGTACTCCGGCGGCCTCAACTTGAGGTTGTAGGTGGAAGCCATGCTCATACAGTAGGCACCTGCGTCATGAACAACCAGTCCAGCTCCCTAAAAGGACAATATATGTCAGAAGGAAACAGAGGAGACACTAATCATCAAATAAAATATAATGGCTTTGAAAAAAGACCTCATCAGGGGTTGGAAGTTCCCTATCTTTTCCAAGGAAATCTGCGGACTCACAAACTGGTCCTACAACATCAAAGGTCGCTACTTCGGCACCAGGAGTGGGGGGAGAGACCAGTTCGATATGCTGCCACATGAGTAACAAGATTCAAGAGCTGAAATAACTTTCTTCACATGAAATTTTTGTTTATTCGGTTAACATGATTTCTATGCATTTCAATGAAAATGAAACCTAAACATAAATGCTTCATCAAGTTGCTGCAATCATAGTGCTTCATTAAGTTGCTGCAATCCCTGAGTGATGCATAGTTGACTAAGAGAATCAGCAGTGGAAACAACAATCATAAAATAAATCTATGGCAAGAATGAGATGTAGCAGTATCATATCATTCCAAAACTAAGACTAAATCCTTTACTCTCAACACATTACCTAAATATTTAATCTACTGTGTGGTGTCTAGGTGATGCTGAGAACATAGGTGTGTAGTTGAACTTCCTGAGCCTACACCAGTAAATTACCCATATACGGGTTGTAAATATTAGCATTGAAAAACTGTCCGATACAAGGCAATATTCAAAATTTCCATGCATTAATCTACTTTCTCAAGACTATCACAATGTCAAAGTGGTTACCATCTTGGATACACAACCAAAGCTATGGCTTGGAATCATTATGGTTCTATAGACGGAAAAGAAACTACCTCGAGAACATAGTAGTAACACTCGCTATCATTGATTAAATCTCTACTAAACAAACCCTTCCTTAAAAAAAAAAAAAAAACTCTAAACAAACCTGGTATGCTCCATACAGACTAGGTCTGATGAGTTCTGCCATGCTGCCATCAACAACAATGAAATTCTTTTGTACCATTAGATTTAACACCAGTTACTCTATTAACTAAGCAGCAAGTATTAGCGATCAAAGATCTTCCAGGTTCAATAATAAGAGTAAGATCTGTAGAGAGAACTAATTCTCGCACCTGCAACAAAATAAATAGAATAAACATGATGAATCAAGCCATAACTGCATAAGCTAACTTTTCATATCACAATAAGGAAAACTGATATCTTAAAGATGCATGCGTGCCTGCATAGATATGAATCAAAAACATGGTAAGGATGCTGAGCTTACAGTGTTGATGAGATCCATAGGTGTAGGTAAGACTGCATTGGTATGATGGTAATCTATTCCCAAACCACCTCCAATATTCAGGTACTCCAACTTAAAACCTTGTGCTCGAATTTCATCAACATAATTCACCATAAGAACTGCAGCATCTCTGAATATATCAACCTAAAAAAATGGGAGAACACTTTAGATACATCTACTAAGAAACAGGTATTCTGCAAAGAATACAGCAAAGAATACAGCCATCTAAGCAAAGAGTACTGAACACTGAACATAAATGTTCTGCATGAATATTATTTGGGTCTTTATGGCAGAAAGATAAAAGCCATAACCAGTATCAGATCACTTTAAGCAAAATAATTGAAATGGTATTTACTATAGCGACTTAGTGAGTGCATGGGTAGTACATATGCATGGAAGGATGGAGGATCTACCTCTTGATTCAGTCAAACATGCATCTTAATTTCAAAATAGTTGCATGGTCATCCTCAGGTTCTATACGGGACTTCAAAGTTAGATCTTAGAAGACAGGTTCTATAATGGACTTCAGGTATAATTTTAATAATAACAATAATTTCTAATTTTTACCGGTGGTAAAGGCTGTCAGGCAATCATCCTAAAACAGGGTACATTAACAGACTACAGGTGACATAGTGCAAAAAGGTCATTGTTGACTGGGGCAGCAAACATTTAGCTGACTGCAGCAAAGTGACTGTTAACCCGACACAAGATGTTGCCTATTAGGCAGAGAAAAAAGTACAATTTACCACTGCAGGCAAGCTTTTTATTTCCTCAAATAGACGAATATGCAAGAGAGCTGTGTTTCATTGCATTAAGAAGAAAAAGAACAACTGCGGGCAAGCTCAGTCTCAGTTCAACAAATTCTAGACATAAGGCTATAGTGACATTAAAATAATACTACAAAGAGAACAAGACATTACCTTTGTAATAGTAGATCCCAGATGGCAATGAACACCGACGAGTTTGATTTCATCTGGGTATGACTTGATAGAGTCCAAAAACCATTGCAATTTCTCATTGCGGATCCCGAATTTGGACGTTTTATTTCCCGTGGCAACATACGGATGTACCTGTTGAAAAAAGTTCCTTCTTACAAAAAAATGTCCAAGCACTGCTACTTGGCATATCAACGTATCTTATAGGTGTGAAATTCAAAACTTTTATAACATTTAACTCTTCTTTTTTTTCTCGAACACGCAGGAGAGTTTAACTCTTCTTTTATTATCACTACCATTACTAATATACTGCTGACTCTTTTATCTTTTGGTAGCTCTTATATTGGGTTTTATCTCTACCGGTCTAGCCTGCCCAATTTGCTTGGGATTAAAAGGCTTTGTGGCAGTGGTCGCTCAAAAGTGGAAGACACAAGGAGTTATTTAATCTGTTAAAGGAAAAAAATCAGATAGGGAGGAAAGAGTGATCACAACAGAAGTGGCAGTTGTCCACAAGACATTCAAGTAATAAGGAAACAGAAGGAAAAAATCCATGGATAACAAGCACAAGTAAATTAAATCAATAAAAGGTACCCCACTCAAAACAATACAAAGGGATGTTAGCCAGCAGCCAGGTGCACACCCACAACTGGAACTTGATAGTTGAGAGAGAGAGAGAGAGAGCACAAACACAGTGCCTGCTGACTGAACTGAGGATGTCTTGTAGTAGTATAAGGTGATGTACACCCACTACCAGGCCATACATGTTCAAGTTGATGTACACCCACTACAAGACCATACCGGCCATTCTACCAACTACTAGAACAAAGCCATACATGGCCTATGGATAGAATGGCATGACCAAATAAGCAAGAGCTAGCCAAATTCCATCAAGGGATAAGACAAGGGCAATAAAAGAAACCAAATACTCTCATTGGCCGCATGTGTATACATGTACGTGTGTTTTGGGGAGTACTAGAGGGTAACCATACCTGCGGATCCACATCTGGATTTATTCTAAGCAAAACAGGCACTTTCTTTCCGGTAGCCCTTGCAGCTCTGACAATATTTTCCAAATCAAATTCACTATCCACGTTTACAAATACTCCGCTCTCAGCAGCTAATTTAAGATCTTCGAATGTCTTCCCATTTCCGTTAAATATACACCTGATCTTCAAAATAGAAAATGAATATAGTTACTTTCTATTCAGAAACAATGCCATCAACTGGAGAAACGGTGAGCTCTACAGCTGAAGGGGTTTGCAAGACCAATGGCGAGCGAAAATCCTTGAGTAGATTAAAACAATGCTATGCGATAGCCAATAATATCATTATGTGATTTTTTTTTTGGTTTTGGGCCTATAGTCCATGTACACTTTTGTAACAAAAAAATAACCAGGTCTCTCCTTTTTGCACTATCAAGGACAGATCTGCACAAACAAAACCATAGTACTTGTATACACAAGTTCTGCTAAAAAAAACTGAACGCCTGTCAGATAGCTTAACTAGCATTTTGGAATCTCCCAGCTCTTTCCAGATTCATGTTTTGTTGAGGACATATGTGGGAGTTAGATCAAAAGAAAATTCTTCAACCCTTTGCCAATGCACGTGAAAGTGACAATTCCAAGTTCAAAGTTTTTGTATATGAGTTTTTTACGCCGTTGTGCAAGGGAGGAACCAGAAGGAAGGTTGCGGCTAGCAGGGAAGAGATCTTCAGGAGGCTGTCCGAGGGTGCGCAGGTCAACCAGCAGGCCGCTGAGCCAATAGAGAATAACAGTCAACATCTTCTGTCCCGCAGCTAGGAACCTGACTTATGCATGCAGACTAAATAAAATGAACTTGGCACTAGAGCTGGCCTTTTTCGTACTAGAGTTTTGGTGACGTGCTTGTCTGCATGTTTGTGTGGCCATTATGTGTGATCCCTGTTCTTACTTTGTAATCTGGTATTCCCAGAAACTCGCTTTCTATAAAGCAGGGCCGGAGCTCCTTTGTTCAAAGGTGATATATACTTCAATCCTCCATTCCGCCCACCATTTATACAACAAGAATAAGACATTTAGACCTATACTGTGATGCATTCATATTTGATTTTTGTCTGCAACTTGGACTTGGAGTCTTGAAGTTGGAGAAATCAGAAATGGGTGGACTTGGCTTGCTGTTGCCTTATTGGGAATAAAAGTAAAATTACAATATTTGCAGGGTAATTTCAATGCTTACTGAATTTTAACCTGCATTATTATTTGTTTATTAAAAGTACTAAAATGTATCTGCATATGGGGTATTTGGGGGTAAATGCCCTAATAGTGTGTCCATATCAGCCTGATAACAAGACACTTATCTGTGCTGCATAGACTTCGATAACAATATACTCCCTTCATTCCAAATTATAAGACGTTTGGCTAATGCAGTTTGCTGATGCATAGATGTTTTGGCTAATACATAGACGTTTCGGTGCATAGATTTTGATAATGTATTACCGTGGCTAATGCAGTTTGTGCAATCGCTACAATAATCTAACATTATCACTGCTATCCATGCCAAATATACAGAAACGCCCTTCATCACCATCAGCGGCAATGCAACATAATCTATTATAATCCATCCAAAATTAAAACAATAAACAACAGCAGCAGAAAGTGAAGACATTTGCTCAATGACACCAGTCCATCCCAGGAAGTAAAAATCTTGGAACAAGAGCAGCACCTGGTGGGGTCAAATCCCGCCTGGAGAGCGAGTCGGAGCTCGTTGCCGCTAACGAGGACGGCGCCGCAGCCAAGCTCACGCAGGACGCGTAGCACGGGGAGGTTGTTGTTGGCCTTCACGGCATACCCGACGATGGAGCGGAGCCCCTGGAGAGCGTCGCGGTAGGCGGCGAAGTTGCGGAGGATCTGAGGCTTGCTGTAGAGATAGAAGGGGCTGCGCTCGGCAGCCGCCATCGCGTCCTCCACCCGCACTCCCTCGCAGTACAGGTAGCCGTCGGCGCCGCGCCGGAAGCAGTGCTTCGGCACGCCGGCAGCCGCCGCCGCCGCGGGCTGTGGCGGTGGGGACGGGGAGGCCGTGGAGACGGAGGCGCGCACGGAGGACAGGCGGCCATGGCGGCGAGGGAATGAGACGACGGCGGGGCTCCGGCGGTTCGGGTGGCTCGATTGGGTAGGGTTTGGGGTCGGGAGAAGGGAGCGCGAGAGCAGGTTAGCCGCCGCCATTGCTAGGGTTTAGGGAGCGAAGTGTCCTGTACCAGTTCCACGCAAACACGAGTTTACAGAGATTTCAGGATTTGACCACCACGTGTGCCTCACTCACACTAATTTCTTTGAATTGTTTCGTTATCTTTTCTCCAATTTATTTTTTTATTTATTTTCTTTCTTTTCCAGATACCGATTCATTTCGGGTGGCTCTTTATATATATAAGCAATCAAAGCATGCGATGGGTTTTAACATGAAAATGAATTTTCAATCAAAGCATGCGATGGGTTTTAACATGAAAATGAATTTTTAGGGGAAAACAAACAAACAAAAAAGGGCGCTGCTGGCGCTCGGACGTCCGATGGATATAGATTCCATCGGACGCCCGCCCCGCACGCCTCTGCCTCCTTTCGGACGCCCGCGTCTGACCCACGTTGCATCTCGCATGCTGCACCGCCTCCACATACACACGCAACCCCGTGACTGCTACTGCCCATTTTAATTAGCCTTTTGTGTTGCGTCTGTGCATCCGAATTTTTTACCATTTGACCCTTTTTTGAAAGTTTCTCACAAATAGACCCCTGGCGGAAAGAATTTCGAAAATTGACCCTGGGCTCGATGCTAGGGTGAATGGCGCCGAGCTCGGCGCCACCGTCACTGGCGCCGGGCTCCTAGGCACGGGGAAATGGCCTGCCAGGAGGCTCGGCGCCATAGTGACTGGCGCCGAGCCCCCTGCATTTAACCACAACCTAACCTTCTTCCCCGAGCGTTCTTCCTCTTCTTTCTTCTCCCTCTTGGGTTTTTCTCTCCCCATTTCGCCCTACCTCACGAATCGACACATTGGACCTTGAAAACCTTGATTTGATCCGTAGATCTTCGAGAGCAAGGTATACTCGCTCACCTCGTTTTTTCGCATCTATTCGGTATATATTAATCGGATTTTTCAACGTAAGAATCGTCATCACTTAGTGTTTCATTGTATCCCTCAACATATGTATTATACAACCGTAGGTTGATTCCAAGGCGTGGAAAAAGCTAGCAAACCAAGCCGCATATAGTTATGTTATGGGTTCATTGTTGTGGATGAAATGAGAAACCCTAGGTTTAGGGTATAATGTTAACTGCTTTTGGTTCTTAGAACGAAATTGATTGTATTGTAGTTATGGTTCTCATTGATAGTTTGTTGTGATGTTTTTATTTATGTTTGTTAAATTACATCCTTTTTGTTAGATGCAAGAAATGTTTCGGGGGGAGTTTTGGCGAAAACGGGGTCGTCCTCGAGAATTATACCCCGACGCGTCTAGCAAAGATGCCTCCGTCTCTCCTGACCTTCATGTCCCTAACTGTGACTGTGGTTTTCCGGCCCATGTTTTTCAATCGAAACATCCGGACACAGCCGCGCGTTGCTTCTACACATGTAGTCGGTTTAATGTAAGAAATTATTTGTACTATCCTTTTTCTTTATTTGTTTAAGTATGGTACTAATATTTTGTTGGAATCTCGTTGTGTAGGACCATGAGAGGTGCTTTTTCTTTCAGTGAATCGATGGTGCAGACAAGTTTGATCCTAGGTACCTCTTTTTCGACGATTGGTTTAGAAGGAGACATCCACGTGAGCACTTCAAGCGGTGGGTTCCACCCCCCTAACCCTCCGGCAATGACGACTAAGGAGAAGCACCTAGCCGTAGTTAGACTACTCGAGGAACCTCCTCTGTGCGATTGCGGAGATCGAGCTGTGATAAACCCTGAGAATATGTTGGAGTTTATGTGTCCAAACAAGCATGAAGTAAGTGTAAAGTGTATATGTTAAAATCTTGAGCTATATGTGATCATGTACTAATGTCTCATTGTTTAGGTGTATTCAATGGCGAAGTGTCGTTTCAAGGAGTGGTTGTATGGTCCTAAGAACCAATGGCCGGAAGAACCGCGGAGGGTTAAGGAAAAGAATAAAGAACGGGTAATCTACAAAGCACCTCCTGTCATGTGCGAATGTGGTGTAAAATCCAACTATGACCTAGTCCCTTCGGAGCTTGGAATAGGCCATATGATTGAGTATGATGAGGTTCGTTATTTTTCTGGTAAACATGAAATCATATTTTGTTTGTTTTGCTAAGACATATATGATATAATATTTCTTTTGAACAGAGCACTAGAAAATGTCGTTGGGAATGTTATGATGGTCAAGTTAAGTTCTTGGATGAACTGAAAAAGAGTCAACTAATTGCACGGAAGAGGGGATATGGACCTGACTACGTCAATCTATTCGTTAAACATCACAAAGAAAAGATGCGTGAGTTTGTTAGATAGCGCGGTATTTGTAACCCGATCGATGTTGGTCTTAACAAATGGGGATTGGAGAGGCGGATGACGTTAGAGGAGGAGAAGGCAAGGAATGAGGCAAGGGAGGAGACAAGAGTACAGATGCAGGTCTTGAACGAGCATGTTGCTACATTATGTGCCAGTGAGTGCTTGAAAACCTTTTTTCGTTGCCTTGTTTTAAATATAATATAATCACGTTGCTAACTGATTGTATTTTATACATGAAGGGATTGGTTGCAGTGGGAAATATGCTGTAGAGGTGGCTTATGCAAGGTATGAGGAGAAAAAGTTAGATGGCCATAGATCATGAGCTGGTCGCACCGTTCAATCACCGATTGTGTTGTGTGATGACGGAGACAAGGATGAGGACGACACTTGCAGGCTGAGTGAGCTCATTGCTCTAGCAGAGGCGGGCATACAGGCGCAGGAGGTTGAGAACGACACTGGCAGACTGAGCGAGCTCATCGCTCTAGCAGAGGCGGGCATTCAGGCGCAGGAGGCTGACGACGATACTGGCAGACTAAGCGAGCTCATCGCTCTAGCAGAGGCGGGCTTACAGACAGAGGAGGATGATGACGCGTTTTTCACTCAGGCCGCAGCGGCCGCAGATGAAGCGGAGGCCGCTTACTACAAGCGATAGGTAGGTCAGAGCAACGTAGTTGAGCCTAGCCACAGTAAAAGGGTTGTAGTAGAGAACTGGTACACGGATGATGAGTTGCTTACTCAGTACGTTTCAGACTGAGTATTTGGAAGTGCATTTGCCCCTATGTCTACTGCCGACACGTAGTTGTAGTATTAATATGTTGTGTAATGTGGCATAGTATCGAACTTTTCATTATGTGGTTGTTTTCATTATCAATTGTCTTAATATTCCGCTTAATGATACGGACGTATTTAAATTTGAATACATGCTGCAAAAACACTTAAGGACGTATGGCATTATATAAATCAACACACGAAACACATTAAATGGCATGTGACTACATGTACCGAACCTGGGTACAGAGTTTTCTTTGACTAAACCTAACATGCCTTAGGTAATTAAACCATGCCTTAGGTAATTAAACTTAACATGCCTTAGGTAATTAAACATGGGTACATGTGAAAAAGATAAAGTCATCCTAGTAGTGTGGCCACATAATAAATTGTGTTGCACCTTCTCCATAGTAGCCTTCCATTGTTGTTGGTGGTGGTGGCGGGGTGACAGGGGAGGCCCCTTCTTTTTGTGGTTAGGGCAAGTGCAATATGGATCATTGCAGAGTGCCTCCTATGAATCGGCACTATTGTTGTTGTCATACTGTTCGTCATCCTTGTAACCGCTGCTAACTTACCTTTCTAGATCGAAGATACAGTCCTGTAGGTAGTAGATGTACTCCGCATGGCGGGCGGGCGCGGCGGTTGAGCGGCGACGGCGCGGGCAGGGAAGGCTAGCGTGAGAGGGAGAAGAAGAAAGGCGGAGCGGCAGCGGCGACAGATATTTCCGAGCTCGGCGCTAGAGTGACTGGCGCCGAGCTCAGCGCCAAGATCTACGGCGTCGAGCTCGGTGCCAATCACTCTGGCGCCGAGCCCCCTGACAGGCGTGCCCAGAAGCTCGGCACTAGTGACGGTGACGCCGAGCTCGGCGCTATTCACCCTGGCACCGAGCCCAGGATCCATTTCCGAAATTCTTTCTATCAATGGTGTATTTATGAGAAACTTTCAAAAAAAATCAAATAGTAAAAAATTCGGCCCATGCATACACGTAGGAGCACCCACGCCTACTCCTGGAGCTGAGCCCCTCGCTTCCCGTGCCTATACTCCTACAGCTGCAGCTCAGGCCTCGCTTCCCGCGCCAATGGATGCATGTGCATGTAGCTAGGGTGGGGAGCACCCACGCATGTGCTACTGCAGTACTGCAGCAGGTAGGGGACCGCCTCCTTGGCTCCCGTGCCCATGCATGTAGGTGGGGACCTTGCCGCTTATTCCCACGCCTTGCTTTTGTGCTGCTCGTCGGCGTGTTTACGCAAAGAGACCAGATCTATATGGAGTATTTGCAACATCAAATCTATTTTGCAATATTTAAATAAAATACTTGTAGTATATAATATACATGCAAACATGCATGGCACGTACTGTGCCGGATAATAAAAACCCTCGCAACATAAAAGCAATTACTGTAACATGCATTTGAAACAGGTGACACATTTACAATATAATTTTGCAACATACATGTATAGCTACAGCAATATAGATAATATCCGTTTGAAATATTTGAAGTACACACTTGCAACATACGTGTCGGTGTTTCGGACCGGAGGATCCTCAACCAACTAGTAAATCTATACCGCGTGTTTCCGATCCCGGATGGTGATGCAAAGAGACACAAGGTTTATACTGGTTCAGGCAATTGGTGCCCTACATCCAGTCTGATAGATTGATCTTGTATTCCTTGCACCGAAGTGCTTGTAGTAGGGGGTTACAAGCTGGGTGAGAGATGGAGCTAGTCACAGGTCTCGGCGAGGAGTGATGCGGACTACTTGAGACGTTGCTCTCAGGCAGCAAGGAAATGTGCGTGTTACAGAGTGTTGCTTTGGTGGGTGCGTGTGTTCTCTCTAGAAATGGCCCAAGTCCTTTCCTTTTATAGTTGAAGGGAGGACAAGGGTAGCACGTGTGCTAACTATACGGCATTGTGCGAATGGAGGCGGCATGTCCGAGCCCTGTAG